CATGTCACGACCAGGAGCCTGCTCCCGGGACCCAGGGTGGTGCAGCCCTTGAGAGGGCCACATGTCACGACCAGGAGGCCTGTTCCCGGGACCCAGGTGGGGCAGCCTCTGGAGGCTGCTGAGCAGCGTACACCTTCACAGGACCAAGTGGAAAACGTACACGAGCTCAATGCAGAAAGAGCATGACAAGTCCAGTGCCCTCATCAAGGGACACTGAGCTACAGAGAGGAGGGAGTCTCCTCCACACAGTAAAGGTCATTAAAGCCCATAGCTGACATCTTCTCAATGCAAAGCTTTTCCTCCAAGGTCAGGAACAGAACAAGGATGCCCACTCTCACCACTTCCATTCAACACATTTCTGGAACTCCTGGCTAGAGCAAGTATGCAAGGAAAAGAAAATACAGGTATCCAAGTTAGAAATAAGAAGTAAAATCATCTGTTTGCAGATGGCACGACTTTACATGTAAGAAACCTAAAGATTTCACAATAAACTGTTAGAATTTATATGTGAATTCATCAAAGCAGCAGGATACAGTCAAAACACAAAAATAAGTTGCATCTCTTAAACACTAACAATGAACACTCTGAAAAAGAAAGTAACAAAATAATTCCATTTACAATAGCACCAAAACACTTATGAATTTAACCAAAATGTCAAAGACTTGTATGTTAAGAACTGCAAAATACTGCTCAAAGAAAAAAAATAAATAGAAACACAACCCATGTTCATGGACACTTAATGTTAGAACAGTAAATGTCTACAGTAACCAAAGTAATCTATAGATTAAATGCAATTCCTATCACAATTCCACTGATACTTTTTGCAGAAAAAGAAAAATTCACTCTAGAGTTCATAGAAAATCTCAAGGGATGATGAACGGTCATCTTTCAAAAGAAGAACGAGGATGGGGGACTCATACTTCATAATTTCACAACCTACTATGAAGCCACAGTCATTAAAACTGTATGGTTAGGTTGGGGTTGTGGCTCAGTGGTAGAGCACTTGCCTAGCACATGTGAAGCACTGGGTTTGACCCTCAGCACCACATAAAAATCAATGAATAAAGGCATTGTATCCATCTACAACTAAAAAAATATTTTTAAAAATTAGCAGAAAGTCTGCACTGGGTGTCTCATCACGCTTTATTCTAATTTCTGAAACTGGAAGCAACCAAGATGTCCTTCAGAAGGGAAGTGGATAAACAAACTGTGGTCCATCTGGAGTATGGGATATTCTCAGCATTAAAAAGAACAGGGCTGCCAGCCATGCACAGACATGGAAGAAAATCAAATGTGCCTTTGTAAGTGAAAGAAGTCCACCTGAAAAGGCTGCATGTGTGTAACTCCACCACATGGCATTCCAGAAAAGGAAAACTACAGACACAAGAAACAGCTGTGGCTGCCATGGGCTGAGGGAGGGCCGAACAAAAAGGCTGAGCCCTGAAGATTCAGGGCAGTGCAACTGCTCTGTGTGATACTATAATGGTGCACACATGACATTATAATTTAACTTTTTTGTACTGGGAACTGAACCCAGGGGTGCTCTACCACTGAGCTGCATCCCCAACCCTTTTTATTTTGATACAGGATCTCCCTAGGTTGTTGAGGCTGGCCTGGAACTGGTGATCCGCCTGCTTCAGCCTCTAGAGTTGCTGGGATTGCAGGAGTGAGTCACTGTGCTCAGCATGACATTATCCTTTGTCCTAACTACAGAATGTTCAACATTCAGTTCACTAACATAAACTATGGGCTTCTGGCCACCAGGGCATGCCAATGTAGGCTCATCAATTTCAGCAATGTACCACCCTGGTGGGAATGTAGATGGCGGGGAGCTGAGCTTGGGTGCAGAGGCTACGTGGAAATGTCTGTACCTTCCTCTGTGAACCTAAAACTGCTCTACAGTAGAGCCTATTAAAAAGTGAAAGTAAAACAGGACTTCTTCAGAATAAAAGACTGAAAGAACTGATCCCATAGGCAAGCCAGACATGCAGAGTCCAAGTCCTCCAGGCAGGAGTGCAATGATCCCAATGGAAATCTGGATTTACACAAGAGTAAGGAGCACTAGAAGCTTGGCAGGGGTGCATGCCTAGGAACCCAGCAACTCGAGAGGCTGAGGCAGGAGGATCAGGAGTCCAGGTCAGCTTCAGCAATACAGTGAGACCCTACCTCAAAATTTAAAACACAATAAAATAAAAAGCAACAAAATAAGAAAAACATAAAATAAAGAGCTCCACCGATTGGCTTCACCTAACTGACATTCCTGAGACAAGACAAACATACAAGCAATATTTACCCAAAGAGGCTGCGTTGTCAATAAACGCAACGGCATTCAGTCATAAAGTATGTTTGACGGCCACAGTGGAATCAAGTTAGCAGTACCCACAGGTTCAGAAACTCAACATGCTTTTACATAACCACAGATCAGAAGTCAGTAGGAAAAGAAAGAGACACTTTGAACTAAATTTTAATATAATGTATTAAAATTTGCAGGACACAGCCAATTTAGTACTGAAGAAGAAATTTTCTAACACTAAAAACCCATGTTAGCAAAAAACCAAGGATTTTAAACCAAATGACTTTGGCTTCCTTCTTAAAAAAAGAGCAAAAGAAATCAAATACACTAGTGAAAGAAAAAAAAAAAGGCAAAAAACAAAAACAAAAGAGCACAGTAGGTGACAGCTGAAAGGGAAATCAGAACAAGACAAAACCAACAAAAGCAAAGAGCTGTTTCTTTGAGAAGACTGATGCAGTGAGCAGCCCTCTGCCAGCCAGGTGCCTGAGGAAAGAGAAGCACCATCACCAAGAGCCTAACAGGAGCCCAATAGCTGTGTGCAACCAGTCAGACAGACGAAATGTGCACATTCTTTCAGGGAGAAAACCCCCATATTGCAGAGAAAAGAGAATCAATAGGGAGCTAGAAGAAGCAATTCCTGGCTCAGTCTGTGGGCCAAGAGCTCAGTCACAAGGCATCACTGGAACCTTCCATCAGCACGAGGAAGGTGTGGGGCCAGTTCTGCATGAACTCTAGGATGGCCACAAGGCCAGAGTTCCTCCAAGGCCCTGAGGGCACTATGCAGCACCCACGAAGGTCCCCTCAAGGAAAGAAGACTGCAGACCAATACCTCCCACCAACGCAGGTGCAGAATTCTCACGTGGGCATGCGGTGTGTGACGGCAGATGCACAGTAAGGGTGGACGCTGCCACACCCAAGGGCCCAGGAGAGCCAAGGCGAGGCTTAAGAGTTTCTCTGGGCCCCTGAGGGAGACTGAACACCCAGGGCCACTTGCTTCTGCCTCTCCAGCAGCTCCACCTGTCTCTCTGGTCTGGCGGGACTCAGGAAGAAGGACGGCCCTCTGACTCGTGGTGCCCTCCCTGCCCAGAACCTGAAAGAGATCTTGAACTTGTTTCTTTTTTGGAGGGAGGCAGTGTTAAATTTGCACAGTGGATCTCAAGAACCAGGGGCTGCCCCGGACCAGGACAGGTTTTCCCACAGGATGCTGGTTGCACTAGCTGTGTGGAATGAGGGTCAGACAGCACAAGCTGAAGCAGGTCAGATGAGCACTCCAAGAGCACCTGCCAGAATGAACAAGTTTCCTGGGGGTGGGACCATGGACACCATCAGACTCTTGTCATGAGGCTGTCCAGCAGGTAAAAAGGGTCCTTCAGGGCACCCTGCCAACAGCCATGCCGGGCTTCCCTTCATTCCCAGCCCTGGCACTAGAACCCCACAGAGTCTGGGGCTTGCAGAGTAAAATGCACACACCAATGACAGCACCATGAGTGGGGGTCCACCCAGGGACACAAGGTGAGCCTAGCCCCTGAAGACCAATGTGAGTCACCAAGGCAATACACTCAGGAAGAAAGCCACACAGTCTTCTCCAGAGAGGCAGGAAAAACACTTAAAAATCATGTCATGTAAGATGAACCACTTCACAGAACAGGACACGAGGAGAAGTCACAACCTCCTGCAACAGCACCCTCCCGGTATCTGTCCACCTCTTTGGTCTCTGAGGGCTAACCTGTTCTGGGAATCGGTACAAATGGAATCAGGCAAACTGTGACCTTGTGTGTGAAATCCCTCCCTCAGCATCACCAGCACAAGCCAGAAAAGCCTGGCTATGTTCACACAGCACGGAGGCCAGGAGAGCTTTCTAGGCCACCGCAACCCACCCTGTGGCCTGGCAGCACACAGAAGGGGTCAGGGTGTTCTCTGAAGCATGGCAGGCGGCTCGTCCTGGAGGCTCCAGGGAGCAGCAGCGTAGTCTGAGCTTCTGCAGAGGCCATGCTCCTCAACCTTGGACCTCCTGCCTCCCTATAAGGACCTTGAGATGATGTGGCGCCACTCAGTCAGGGTCATCTTCCAGGTCCAGGTACTCGACCTCATTCCCTTGACAGAGGTCTCTTTGCCAAATGAGGTCACATCCTTGGCTCCCAGGCACTGATCAGGACATCAACAAGGGCTGTTACTCAGCCCTTCCAGAACCTCAAACTAAAACAACTGCTGAGTAGAAGTTAGAATAAAGGGAAAGTCCATGCTGTGGGTAATATTCACAGAATTCTGGGAAAGGAGACCAACCTGCAAGGGGCGGGAAACGAGGGTCAGCCAAGGAGCAGACACATATCAGGCTCACCTCAGCTGCATGGCCACGCAGCCACCACACACTGGCGGAAGCCAGCACCATTCCAACTGCCCGCCTCGTCAGTGTCACAGGCACAAAGCACTTCAGGCTCCAGAGGGCCCTGAGCCAGGCCTGCAGGAGCACTGGCCCACCCTCCACGCAGGTCTGTCTGTCCCTCCTGCATGGCTCTCACCCTAGCCTGCTGACGGCTCAAGGCCTGTCCTGCAGAACAAGCACTCCATGACCGACCTGACACCAGCTTCCAGCCATCCAGCCTGTCCCTGGGTCGTGCCATGCCCCACTTCACAGTCACCCACTTGCTTCTGGATGAATGGCCTCAAATTCCTGACGGCAAGTGCCTCCCAGCACAGGACAATGCTCCCCCTGAGGCCAGGTGGACACTTCTGACCCCAACTCTCCCGCCAGGCTGCTGACCTTAACAGGGGCTCACATGTCCACGAGGCTTTCCCACAGACCCCGACTTTCTCAGCCTCCCCTGACAGCCAGCTCCGTCGGCCCCTGGAGTGCTAGGGTTTTGTCATGACTGGAAACCCTCTTGCTCGCACCTAAGAGGCTGGGCTTGGCAAAAGCCCTGCTCCCTGCCCCCTGCCCCACATCCCCAGTGGCAGTCTCCAGAGACACACCAAGTTGCCCCTCCCATGTCACCCTTAAGCTCAGGCTGTCTGTGGTGAAACTGAAGGGTCCTCTGCTTTTGTTGGGACACTGTGTGAGGGGCACGGGTGCATGTCCTGGAACCCTCTGATGTCCTACCTCTGCAAGCAGTGGCTGGAAGGTCAGGATGTCCACTTTGTGCTCCACACATCTTCTCAGCCTGTCTGGTATCGGGTACTGTGGAAGAAAGCTTGGGAGCTGTCGTCGCGAGTTCCTTAAGACACAAATCCACAAGTTAAAGCAGCTCTTTGCTACCCCAGCATTTCCGTGTGTAGTTTTGGAGTATCCCCCATCTGAAATGCTTGGGACCAGAGTATTTCAGACTTTGGAGATTTTGATTTTGGAATACCTGTGTGGACTCTACCAGCTGAGCATCCATCATGTGAAATGCTTCAAAATCTGAAGCTTTTGGAGCACCACATCAGCACTGAAGCTTCATACTCCAGGATCTTGAATTTTCGAATGAAGAGAGTTCAACCTGATCAGACTTCACTTCCTGCTTCAGGAGGACCAGATACAGGAGCCACCAGCGGAGGCTGGCTGTGCCGAGCCTCTGCTCCTGGTCCTGGGTCCCAAGATCCCCAGCTCTAGCTGGCCTCTCACCTCTGCAGGGCAGCAGGGCTGCTCCTCCCCCTGGAGCCAGACTGGCTTCCCAGGAGCCTACTGGACCAGGGAATTTGAAGACAGCTGTTTTTTAGCCTTTTAATGAACTCGGTTTTCACTACATGTTTTGTTTTTTTCTTTGGATACTAGGGATTGAACCTAGGGTGCTTTACCACTCAGCCACATTCCAAGCACCACCCCCCATCCTGTTTTTTTGTGACAGGGTCTAAGTTGCTGAGGGCCTCGCAAAATTGCTGGGATTACAGGCATGTCCCACTGAGCCCAACTGTTACTGTTTTTAATAAGGACATGAGTATCAGAAACTATAACCACACATCACTGCAAAGAACACATGGGCAGCCTTAACTGTTTTTGTTTTTAGCTGTGACTCCCTGGGGAAAGCTGGTTTTACTCTCCAAGCCTCTGCTTTCTCCAAGAACAGGGTCATCTGAGTCACTCAAATTCTGAGAGCTGGGTGCAGTGGCCATGCCTATAATTCTAGCATGTGTGCTGTGGTGCTGAGACAGGAGGATCTCAAGTTCAAGGCCAGGCTGGGCAACCTGGCAATACCTACCCTCAAAATAAAATTTTAAAAGGACCGGGGTATGACTCAGTGGTGCAGGACTTACCTAGCACGTATGAGACCCTGAGTCAAACAGTGATGCAGAAAAAGGGCCAGGGAGATGAGGAGACTGGAATTTTAGAGACCGTCCACCTAGGTCGAGTGCAGCTTTGGCTGGACAGCTGCAGGCCACCCCAGAGTCACTGACAGCATGGCAGGCCACTGCCCCCACCAAAAAACAGGGCGTCCTCCCCATGAGTGAGCAGAGGGCAACACCAGAGCAGCACAGCTGGGAAGCTCACTGGGAAAGCAGGGAAGCTCGCTGGGAAAGCAGGGCCGCTCAAGACCTAGTGCCAGGCACCGACTCCTCACAGATACAAAGTGAAGGAGACCAAAAGACCAGGACGTGGTAGACCACTGGCCACTCTGACCTCAGCGCACAACATACTGGGGACTTGGCAAGGAGGTGCTGGTAGAGAGGTCTAATAGCAGTGAGACTGAACACCCAGCGCCTGGTGTGGGCCCTGGGCAGGCACCCTGCAGCCAACCAGGGCCAGGCACGCTGGTCCACAGGCTGACCACCAGGAAACCAACGACCTTGCTCTAGAGACACCTGAAGCGGGCTACGCTATCACACCAAGGACATACATGCCCAGGGACTGAGACTCTGATGGCAGCTGGTGTGTGCAGCACTCTCTGTTATGGAGCCGCTGTGACTCCTGTGCCCTGGGTGAGAACCAGGCGTCACCAGCTGCTCCTTTCCTGGGTCCCCACCTAGAACGTGCCCTGAGGCGAGCAGCACCGTCAGCATTCACTGCCTGCTCTGTGCCCAAAGGCTGCACATCTGACATGCTCTATCTCATTTACTCCTCCAGCCCTCTGAGGCAGGGACTCCACTTATAAGTGAGACTAGTGCTCAGAGAGCGATAAAAACTTGCCCAAAGTCACATGGCTTCTTGATAGTAGTGCTGTGACTCAGACCATGTTCTGGACTTGACCAGTCATACAGCACCCTTCTCTGCTATCACACTTCCCTGTGGCCTTCATCGACAAAAGTACCCTGACCCTTATCTCAAACTGTCACTGGGATAACATGTGACTTGAAATCTGGAATTTTCCAGTATTAGAAAAGCACTCTCACCCCAATGGGTTCTGGGCAGCACCTGCGCCAAACCTGCTGTGGTGCTAGTGCCAGATTAATGCCCCATCATGCAGGAGACAGCCACTAAAGCACACCATGTATCCCCAGCCAGCGGCTAATAGAGAACATGCTGCTTTCCTTCCCTTCCTTCTGAAACGGTGGCACTCCTTCAAACAGCCTGAGCAACCCAGCAATCTCACCGCCCAGTGTGAGCTGCATGGGACGCCTGAGCTACAGTGGAGGACACTAGCCAGTATCATGTTAACCCAAGGCTGATGGTGCTGCTGGGCACATGGCTGATGGTGCTGCTTGGACACTGGATGCCAAGAGCTCGTCCTGCCCTCAGGAGATAGGTCAGTAGGAGCAGAGGGCAAGTCCAGTCTGTTCCGAGAGTCACACTGGGACCTTCCAGGGTGAACAGGGCACTGTGACATGCAGGCACTTTGCCCTGTCCTCCACACTGCCATGGTGGTGCCAGTGGCAAAGACAAAATCTGACCTTAAGCATTCTGTGAAAACGCACCCTGCCCCAAATACAGGAAGAAAAAGCACTGCAAACCCAGCCTGCCAGGACGCACGCCTGTCCACAGCCAGAGCCGGTACTGATCAACAAGCTGCAGGGTTCAGGGGCCCACCTCTTCTGTGTAGTCACCACGACAGTCGTCTTTGTGGAGGCCAATGCTTGGGAGCTTTTAGGCTTCTTCCAGGAGAAGGGCTCACGTATGGCAATCAGCGCCTCCTCGCCACTGACCACATTCACTTCCAGGTGCCGCCCGATGAGGAAGCTGGAGAAGCACAGCAGGAGCAGTTCCCTGCAGCGGCCCGAGTGCCTTGAGAAGCAAGGGAAACCGTCAATCAGCAGCCAGACGGGCCACAGCTCCCCTTGGGACACACAGGGAAAGTGACAGGGTTACAGAGGAGAGTCAGGCTGAGGCTTTAAGAACTTACATAGAAGTTTACTTCATAAAACAAACAATGCTTTTTCCCAAGACAGAATCAAGGGCTTAAAACTGTCCTTCCTGTAGTTCTCTTTAAAGTAATCAGAACACACACTGTTTTCAACATTGCCAAGATCACACGCATGTGTACAGGAGCATGTGCTGGAGACAACCCGGGGCCTCCCGCCACTAGGCTAGCACTCTGCCGCTGAGCCAGAATACTAGCCCTTTTTATTTTTTTTTTACATCCTGAGACAGGGTCTTGGTGAGTTGAACAGACTGGCCTGCAATCAACCATCCTCCTACCTTGGCCTCCCAAGTACCGGGACTTATAGGCATGCACCACACCCAGCTCCAGGTGACATGCTAAGTGAGAAGAGTGTCACCTAACCACCAATAGCACTGCTTTCTACCTGTTCCCTTCTCCTTTCTGGCAGTGGCCAGCCTGGCACACTCTGTGCAGGTGTGCTCTGCCCTCACCTATGCCATGATACCACAGCTAGGTGGACAGCATCTCACATGATTCACTAAAGGACTACTGTTGCATGATTGTCACCCACAACTGGACACTGATGGCCCTGATGCAAGACAGTTATTCAGATGACTGGTGAGACAAAAGGAGGATGGGACTCGCATGCCCAGCTGAGACGGCCACTCACTGGCAAGGAGCCTCCACAGGGGACTTGATGAGGAACAAGGACAGGTTTAGGGGCCCAGCTGGTCGCAACCACCCAGGGGAAAGAGGGGTGCATGGAGGCCAGATGTGCAAGCTGGGTCTGAGTGAGAAGGAAGCTCATCCCTATCTTTCTCTCCTCTGGCCCTCACTCCTGGCACCGTGTCTTAGCCAGATGACTGGGGAGGGGGGGAGGCACAGGGATAAACCAAGGCCTCAGAGACCCAGGACACAGTGCAGGAGTCCTTAGAGGGCTACAATCAGGAGGGCTCACAAGTCGTGGAGGGAGCTCATGCCCAAAGGATCATGAATGTTCTACTTTCTTTGTAAAGACCCTGGGTCATCTGCTGAGGACTAGGAAAGACATTGAGGCTGGGCACCCCTTGCCTCGGCTGGCTGCTTTCTGGACCTGTGCTTCTCCTTGCGACCTGGTTACATCACAGACAGCCATAGATGCTCTTAGGACACCCAACCGAGAAGCACCCCAGATGAGGTGTAGAGGGAACATGCACAGGGCCCCGAGGGAGCTCTCTGCAGCCCCCCAGTGGCCTACTTGGCTTCACACGTAATGGCAATGAAGGTTTTTCCCCCTGGAGGGATGAGCCCCCCGGGGTTGGTCTCTGTCAGCTGCTTCTTTGATGGGTTGTTTTCTTTTTCTCTACTTTCTTCTTCACAGGTACAGCCACCTGGAGGAGGAAGTTTAAATCCAAAGTTAGACCAAAAGGTAAGTCATTTTTAATATAGCTGGAAATGAATGGCCAGACACAGAAACACTCAGATGCACACAAAGCCAATCTCGGGAGGAAGCAGCAGGCAGGAGGAAGGTGTGTGATCAGAGTCTCCAGACAGGGACTCAAGTTTGCAGCTTGACCTTGTAGCCCAACCCGCCCCAGCAGGACACAGGCTCTGCTGGGAGCTGAAGTTGGTACTGTCAGGCTATTTTGGTCCCCCTCCCTAGCCCTGAAACATTAAGAGCAGAAGGGTCCAGACTCAAGACTTTAGCATAAACCACTACCAAGTGCCGAGGCTGAGACCCCATTGGTTCGTGCTGTGACAGCTCGTGGATGGGCTCCTCCTTAGCAGCTGGACTGCCCACCTGGAGAGACTTCTGTGTTTTCCAGTGTCTCATCACTGCGGGTTTTCTGGTAGCTGTTTAGCGCATTGACATCGTCATCTGAAAAATGCTCCTCCTTCTCTGGAATAGACTCGTCCAGGCAGGTGTGGCCTTTGTCCAGGGTCTGAACCCTGAACTGCCGCGCTCTGTCCCAGCCAGCCAGTTTGCAGCTGACTAGGTTTTGAGGAACATCTCCTTTATTCCTGAAGAAGGAAAGAGAACAGGCTGCAGATTTCCAGAGCTGAGGCGCAGTCACCACAAAGGAGAAATCAACCTGGCGAACAGCAACTGCAAATGCCTTTGTGGGTTTAAGTTAAAAGGACATCTTAGAGTCAAAAGTTTGAAAATATTCTCAGAGGGAAACAATAAACAGGGAAAGTCCAGCTGGTTCTAGAGGCCTTCGAAAATCTACAGGCATGCAGCTGAAACTACTGCTGTGCTGTCGCTTTATTCAAACCCCCAGAGGCACTTACTCTATGCAGATCACCATGGTTTTGCTTCCTCCTTCCTTCAGGGTTCCAAAGTCTGTCATCCTTGTGACTTCAATGTTGCCTTTGTTTTTCAACAGCAGGGCTCCCCAGGACTCCTCTGAGGCTTCATCAGCAGCAGCAGGGTCTCTGAAGCAAGGGCCAATTGGAGGTGTGGGATGTCAGAAGGCCCCTGCTCTCTGTCCCTGCTCCAGCTCCAGGGCCGACTGTGGATGAGCCTAGAGGTGCCCACCTAACTACAGGCAGAAACTCCCTAAGACCCAGAATTTCCAGAAGAAGTCTAGAAAAACAGGCAGCACAGATGTCAACAGGCCTGCTCCCCTTCTCTCCAGCTTCAGGGTCCAGGGCAGGGAGGAAGGGAGGAAGAGACACTTTCTGCTTTGACACGCAGTGACAGGCAGCATGACAGTGTCCTCACAAGGGACTACACGTGTGTGACAGTAGTACTATAACACTAAGAGGAGGCTGAAAGTTGCCTCCTCACACTTATGGTAGTTTTTCCACATCTGTGTTCAGAGGCAGACCTCACCATACCTGCTAAGCTCAGCATGGCAATGTGTGGTGACAGGCATCACCACCAGGGCTTTGAGCGTGCCCTCCCAACACCTCTGGTTAAGCAGCGCCAACTACAGCAAGTCTGGCTCTTTAGAAAATGAGAAGTTTTTACTTTGCCTCAAAACAGAGTGTCTTTTCCCTTTGCCATTGACTCTGCCCAGAAGGTCAACCCAGTCTTGAGCACTACCCTGGACTGCAGCCCATAAGAAAACAGGCCTCTAGAATGAACCTCTCCATTTCTGGCCCTGCTCACAAACTCAGTGGTCCCTTCTTGGGTCTATACTGTCCCCTCCTTTCTCTTCTCCCCCCTCTGTGCAAAGGCCTGGTGTGCACTGTCCACATCTGCTATGGATGAGGCCAGAGGAAGTAAGAAGGGAGGCAAGCAGCCTCCAGGTTTCTGGCTCAACGCACATACAGGACAGGCTATTTTCAGGGGGGTACTGGGACTGAGAGTTGAACAGAAGCTGCCTTGCTTATCTGTGCTGTCAATCAGACACAGGGAGATACCAGAAGTCTGCAATTACAGGGGGCAGCCAAAGTTGGAAGCAAAGTCCAGTAGCTGCACATGACAGCAAGAAGGGGCAGTATACCCGTGACTCCACAGCCTAGCAGCACCACACCCTGGACAGGAAACCCGAGCGAGGATGAGAAGACAGATGTGCTGTGGGGCAGAAATACACCTACCTCCATACACTTGTGGCCTGAAGAAGACAGCAGGGTGGAGTGGTGGGGCATGTCCTTCAAGTAGTCATGCCAACCACAGGCCCACAGTAAGACCTGCTGGCCATGCTTCTCAAGGCCACGGAGGGGGCTTTATAGCAAGGCACAAAGCAGAGGAAGCCTGTGGTCATCAAGACCCAAGTCTGGGGCTCCAGTCAGTGATCAGCTGGCCTTGCTTGGCAGACAGGGCCACATCTCTCTTCCCTGCCCCAGGAGGAAAGCAGGGTCCCCTGGGAAAGGAGACAGGCTCCACGTGGCCAGAGTCAGGTGAAAGTCTTGAGCAGAGTGAGGGCAGAGCACCACTGGTCAACTCATGCACCTCCCTCATGCACCTGTGGCCGCTGGGAGACACAGGGCTGGCCTGCCCAACCCAGAGACCAAGCTGGGCACCAGATGTGGGGCGGGAAAACAGACAAAACACTCCCCACACAGAGCTTGCACTCAACTGAGGAAATGGGGCGGTGATGAGAATAATGAAGGAGTGAGGAGCCTGCCCAGGGAAAAGGCAGGCAGGGCTTGGGCAGCCATGTGCAGGGCTCAGGAAGGGCCACACCACGCTATGTGTGTTCACACAAGAAGGACACCACATGCGAGGATGCCATGACAATCGCCCCAAGAACCTACTATGTCCAACATGTGCTCTTAAATGCCAAAACATGAAAGAACAAAAGATACAAGACTCTACACCAAATGGCAATTATCTCTATGATCTGATTATGCTGTCTCCTCTGAAACTCAGGTGAAATCTAATCCCCATTACAAGAACGTAAGAGTGGGACCCGTGGCACCTTAGAGAGGTGATTAGGGCTCTGCCTTCATGAAAGGGTTAATCCACTCATGTGATTAATGCATTAATAGTCATCTGCAGGGGTCAGCAAATAAAGGCCAGTCTGGCCTCTTGCCATGGAGTGCCCTGCAAGGCCTAGGGGCTCTGCCAGCAAGAAGCTCATCACCAGATGCAGCCCTTGACCCTGGACTAGAACCCTGAGCCAAAACAAACCTCTTTCTTTTATAACTTGCCCACTCTGTGGTACTCTGTCATTAGCAACAGAAAAGGGGCCTAGACAGTCATCACCTTAGGACGAAGGGACTAAGAGACAAGAAGGACATTGGAAATCTACCTGCACTCCACTGGGAGGCTGAGCCCTTCACACTCAGCTCCTACAGCAAACGTGGGACTTGGAAGGCCTGCTCTCTGCCTTACCAAAGGACTTGGAAGGCCTGCTCTCTGCCTTACCAAAAGGCAGTGATGAGTTCTCAGATGGGGACATGTTCTGAGAAATGTGACTGTCCTGAGGCAAGTCTGTCCTTGTGTGAGCACCAGGGTGTACCTACATGAACTAGGAAGGCTGCAATGTCACTGAGCAGTGTATCTTAGGGGACCAGCACTGCATGGAAACGATCAGCCAAACCACTGTGGCACAGCATGTGACTAACTCTTCAAGTCTGGCCTGTCCCCACCCAAACAGGAGTGCTGCTGCTTACCTCCTCCTCACAGGGGTCATACAGAGCGCTCGCCACACGTAACACGACTGACTGCTCTCCACCACCACGGCGTTGACCACATCGTGCCTCCGAGGCGTGTACCCCTCCGGCAGCTTCAGGGAGTCCAGGCTGAAGAAGATGCTGTCCTCCAGCACCCCATTCCTCCCACACAGGCTGGAGACACAGACCTGCGAGTGTGGTGCTGAGCTTGACAACACTGCTGGCAAGGGGCACAGCTCTCCAACTCTGCAGCAGACCCAGGAGGCCTGACCCAGGAGGACGAGCGGGGTCTGTGAGCTGGGGCTGAGAGGGCTATGGAGGTGGCCCACATACCTTCCCCACTTTTTGGTCACGGACCAGCCATGCCCCCATCTCGCCCTGGTGCAAACTCAATTCCTCCTCATTCCCACCCCACTCCCCAATCACACCAGCTCCTGAGGAAGGGCAAGTCCCACAGCCCACCCACTCACCCCACAATTCTCTACCAGGCATGTTTTGCCCCTAGAACACGTTAAACACGCCCACATCTGTGAGTACTCAGGGTGGTCTCTACTTCCCCCAGGAAACACAGGCCTGGCTAAGCTGCGCTCATCTGGGAGAACCTGGGGCATGGAAGTGAATCCTGGAGGCAGGTGTGGCAGAAACACAGGGAGGAGCCACTTTAACACACTACCTTGTCCATGCGCTTGTACCTCAGCGGCTTCACTGATATGGCCTCACTGCTCCATGTGCCTGGCCGGATCCAGTACTCAGCCTCCACCCAGTCTCCTTTGCACGGCTGGAAACCTGAAATGGCAAGAGAGAAATGGCGTCCAACTGCACAGTTCAGATTGTCAATATCACAACTGTTCTAATATATCTGGATTTTTCTTTTGTTAGACAGCAGGGATGGGGGGGCGGTGATGGGGCACAGGCTTTAGAGCAACAGTCTGAGGACCTTGGGAATGTCAAAGATGAGAATAGGTCCTTGGAGCAACCATATTGGTTACCAGAGAGACACCTGAGACAGGGCAGACTCCACCGGGCTGGGCCGACACTTGGCTCCTGGGCTAAGGGCCCTTAGGCCTCCACTCACAGTTTGGGCTCAAAACTTTGAGCCAGAGGATTACATCAGGGCCATTCTGCCACCCAGGAACATCTCTGAGCATGACCCTCCCTCAGCTTCCAGAGGAGTTGGTTTTGCCTCAATTGAGTTTTTTGGTTATCAGCAAAACCCTCTGCCTGGGCTTGTCTTTACTCCTCAAGGGTAAGCCTTCCCTTGTGTGTCTCTTGTCAATATCTACAGCATGAAACATTCCCCATCTCTCCATGAGACCTCTCTCCACAAGGCCACCTAGGCAGCGGCCTCCTGTTGGTATGGCTGAGGGGAATAGACAATCCCAGGCAGCATTTCCCAAGACTCAGGAGTTCCACAGAGAGAGCAGATTTCAAAATCCCCAGCAGCTGCCTGTTGATTTCATTTTGGGGGGGCTACGGTTAGCATTGAGACCCCTGCACAGGGCTGGCACTGGCAGAGGCATGATTGAACCCAACCATTCCAAGAATGCACGTTGCCATCTCAAATCCAAGCCAGTTAAACTGCAAAGCCCAATCTTAAATGTAAAGCAGAAGCCCATCCAGCTACCTTCACACACGCTCTCCAGAGAGAAGTACGTGGTCTGACTAATATAGCCAGTGCCTTCCATCAGGGAAGTCACGCAACCGATCAGCACCCGGGGACTGGAGTCGGACAGCCCTCTGCCATAGCTTTTGCTGTCGTCCTCCCATTTATCAGACACAGCTTCTACCTGTAAGACAGACAAATCACAAACCAACTTACAGCATTACAAAAGGAGGACAAAATAAGCAAACTGCAGGCCAACATCTTATCTTAGTCCTTTCGGGCTGGGAAGTCCAAGATCAAGGCAGCGGTTTCAGCATCTGATGAGGACTTGATTCCTGATTCACATCTGGTACCTTCATAACATGTCCTCATATGCAAGAAGGGATGAGGAGCTCCCTGTAGTCTCCAAGGGCATAAATCGCATTTATGAAGCCCCTGCCTTCATGACAGTCACTCCCCGAAGGCCCCACCTGCTAATACTATTCATCACCATAGAGAAGTCTATCTAGCAATGCCTCATGAATGCAGATGAGAATCTTCACCAAAACAGCAAAATGAGTGCACAGCATATTGAAAGGTTTATACACCATGACCAAGTGGGCTTATCCCAGAATGCAAGAGCAGCCCAACACCTGAAATCCAGCCAGTAGAAGAACATACCACATTGACCAGAAGACACCACATGACCTGTCATTTGACTGGGGCTGGGGCTCAGTGGTAGAGCGCTTGCCTAGCAAGTGGGAGGCACTGAGTTCGATGCTCGGCAACCACATAAAAATACATAAATAAAATAAAGGTATTGTGTCCATCTAAAAAAAAAAAAAGGGCATCTGATTAAACTGTACATCTCTTCATCACACATTACACAAACCAGGAGTAAAAGGAAACTTCCTCAATGTGATAAAGGTCATAAATAAAAGTTCACTGCTAGCATCAACCCAGCACTGAAAGATGAATAGTTCTCCCCTAAGATCAGGAAGGAGACAAGGAGGCCCACTCTCTCCTTCTATTCAATACAGCACTGCAAGTCCTCACCAAAGCAATTAGGCAAAAAAAGGAAATAAAAGGCATCCAAACTAGAGAAGAAGTAGAATTATCTCTGTTCACACATGGCTTGATCTTACATGTAAAATACCTAAAGCTGCCCCAGGACAGCAGGTAAGGCCTTTGGGAGCTGACTGGATCACACATCTGTATTCATAAGAACTGCTACGACTGCGTGTTTTTGTCCCTACCCTCCCAAAAATGTAGAGCTGATAAACTCAGCGAAGTAGCAGGATACAAAGTCCACACACAAAATTAGTTTTATTTTTATAAGACTCTATGAAGAATATGAAGAGGAAATTGAGCATCAAAAGAAAGAGGATACTTAGGAAACAACAAGGAGATGTAAGATTTACCCTACCAACTGCAAACCACTGAGGGAGGGAATGAAGCCTCACAAGTGGAAAGACACTGCATCGTGGCTGGAAGACACAGGTGTGAGAGGTGAGATGCAGCTGGGAGCATGGAAAGGCTCTGCTTCCCACATCACAGCATCAAGCACCTTCTGTGGGGCATGGACTTCCTTTGATTGTGCCACCTGACTTGGCAGCTGCTACTACAAATAGCACTTGATAAATACGGCTGATGAAACTGAAGAACCAATTTTAAATTTTACTTAGTTTTAATAAATTCAAGTAGCTACACACTGACCGATGTAATTCTGCAATCTGAATTATTTTTATATGTATCACTTAAAAATTATGATACGAAACATTAAGATAACATCATATAACCCACGCATTTCCAAGAAGTAGTTAAGACTCAATAAGTTTGCCACCTTATAAGTTACATTAAAAATCAACAGCTTTCCGATAAAGAAAAAGATTAATTTGAAAATACTATGCAAAATTATACTGAATATTTGTGGCAGAGCACACCTGTAATCCCAGAGACTTGGGAGGCTGAGGCAGAAGGATCACAAGTTTGAGGCCAGTCTCAACAACTTAGTGAGGCCCTATGCAATTTAGCAAGACTCTGTCTCAAAAATAAAAAATAGAAAGGGCTGGGGATGAACTCTGTGGCTAAGTGTCCCTAGGTTAAATCCTTGGTACCAAATAAAAAAATAAAATTATACCAATAACGGTACAAACCCCAAAATTATTTGAAATAACTTAAAAAGTTTGCAGAACCTTAAAAAAACTATTAAATTGTGAAAAAAAACTACATAAATAAACAGACATAATTTATAGTTGAAGCTTATGTCAATTAAGCCTAAATGGAATCCATAAACTCAGCACAAAAACAATCAGAGCAGAAAATTAACAACAAAAAATACATCTTGCCCAGAACATATGAAAGCCAAGCAAATTCCACCCACAAATAAAGGTAAGGAAAGGAAACCTGCCTACCATCAGTGATAGTGGCCATGCCACAGGGATCCAAAGGACACACAGGGACCCATAACCACAAGAAAGTGGGATTCTGATACATGAAAAGAAACCTTTCAAGTCAGCAGGAAAAAAGTAGATGTCTCAGTAGGGTGATTGGTGAGCTGTGAGAAAAGGAACATCTGGCAGTCTACAGGACACAACAAATGACTCAAGATTAATATCAATAAATAAATAATTTTCAGAGGAAAATCTGAGTGAATATTTATGATAAGGAGTAGAGTAACCCTCTCAAAGGATTCTTTTTTCTTTTATTTTTTTGAGACAGGGTCTCATTAAGTTGCTTAGTGTCTTGCTAAGCTGCTGAGGCTGCTTTGAACTTGCAATCCTGCCTCAGCTTCCCGGCCACGGGGATCACAGGCATGTGACAACATGCCCGGCTTCTCAAAGGATGCTTAAGAGACCCAAATCCATCCAATAAATTAAGACACATTTAACTACATAAAATGAAACTGTAGGGCTGGGGATGTGGCTCAAGCGGTAGCCCGCTCGTCTGGCACGCGCAGGGCGCTGGGTTCTATCCTCAGCACCACATAAAAAATAAAATAAAATAAAGATGTTGTGTCCACCGAAAACTAAAAAATAAATATTAAAAAATTCTCTCTTTCTCTCCCTTAAAAAAAATAAATGAAATTGTAAAACAAAGTCAAAGATGATCTTAGAGAAAATATTTTTAACAATTTCACATAATAAATTTCCTTTAAAAGCTCTAATTTTCATTATTAGGTAAGCTTTAATAAGCATAAAAGCTAAACCCAACAAAAAGTTGATAAAGGATATGAAGATATCTCAGTGAAAAATTTGAAAAATTAACATACTTTAAGGCTTACACACAAATAAAATCATGAGATCACTCTTCATTTACTAAACTGGCAAATATTTCCAAGCTCAGGAATAATGATATCCCTGCAAACACCAGTTAGCAGGCAGTCTCCTTTCTGCAACTGAGACTATAAACTCATACAATATTATTGATGCCAAATTGATGATAATCTTATGAAATCTGCATACCATTTTGACTTAGCAATTGTATCTCCAAGAATTCGTGCTACAAAAATACAATTTTATGTGAAAAAGTTGCTGAATAATAGAGTCCACTGAGTTTTGCTAATCTGCTAATAAAGGATTCAATCATTATCATTTAAAGAACAGTTTTTAAAATGGCTAGAAGAACAAAGAACTGTTAACAGTATTCTAGCATACATTTATAAGCAAACTTTACCTTTTTGAAATTTTTCTTAGTTATAGGTGAACACAATACCTTTTTTAATTATTTATTTTTATGTGGTGCTGAGGATCAAACCCATGCATCACACATGCCAGGCAAGTGCTCTACCACTGAGCTACAGCTACATCCCCAAACTTTACCTTTTGAACTTTAAAACAAATGCTTCCCCTTCAGGTACACTGCACTCTCCCTTGGCCTGGCCATGTCTGAGAGGCTGACAAATGTGGAGCGTGCAGACAGTTCCTGAACGAACCCGGACTCACCCTGATTGCTTTCAGTCCATTTGACACTTTGTTTTCTTCAACAACTGCAATGACTTCTTGTCCAACGTTCAGAAGCACTTTGCTAGTCACAGCCTCATTGGAGAAGTAGATCAAGTCATCAATCATGCCATAATCACTGCAGTACCTTGTCACGACACCCTGCACAGTTTTCAACCTAGTGTCACCTGAAACAGGCAAGCAAAGAGGTTAGCAAGATCAGCTACGATTGTGCCCTACCAGAGAAAGACCATGAGCATCCACAGGGGACAGGAGCCAATGGGTGGGATTTGAGATGTGGAGACCCTGACATGGCATGGAGTGTTTGGAATGTAGGGTTTCTGGGGCAGAGGCTCAGGTTCCGGGGGACATAGGTGTTAGATGTGGTAGGGAGAACCCAAACTGTCTGGCTTTGCCTCCTGGCTCTTCTACTGCCATGTGTCACCCTGGGCTTCTCAGTTTCCATCTGTGAAATGGAGAGAATACTGGTCACTACCCATGAGGGCTGTTGGAGAGTCAAGTACCAACACACACACAACGTACTCCTGCTTGGCTTTCAGGAACTGTTACTATTCATCTTCCCTTATTATTATCAAGAGCAGCAGCGGCAGCAGCCCAGGGAGACTGGGAAAGAAGCAACTGGCCCTCAGCCAGAGAGATCTCCTGAGAACCGTAATTGCAGTCCTTGCTGTGCCTTCCCTGTGACTTCTCACAGGAGAAAGCCTGGGGCCCAGCCACATCAGAGCTGAGCAATCTCAGTGATGCACATTGCTGGAGTGCAAGCTGTTGCTGAAAGCCATTCTACAGATGAGACCAGCTGGATGGTGACCTGCTCCAGGTCGCAGTTGGCTGTCGGCCTTAACACATCAGCATAGGGTGGCCTTTACTGTGCTGCCCCCAATTCACTCTATTTCTGATATTTCTGGTTTCTCTTGTGGAGAATGCCATCGTTTTAGAGGTTAGAGAAAGCCAAAGGGAAGCACTACCCTGAACTCAATTCCTGTAGAGGAGGAGGAACAGGGAGAAACAGCTGTAACCTTGGGGGAAAGCTGCACCAGGGAGAGGCAGTCTGCCAGCATTAGCGGCACAAGAAAGGAGAGAATCCGAGAGGAGGAGCGATTTCATCGCATTTAGAAAGGACGCATTTAGAAAGAGGGTCGGATGCCGTTTTTTTGGAATGAGGAAAGCTCACAACTGCAAGTGACGCCAGGGAAAGAGATAAGGCAGAGGCGTGCAGAGACCGAGGTGCCCTCGTAGGCGCAACGTCCCGGCGGGAGATGGACCGCCAGATGGTTCTTCCCAGAAAGACTGGGAAGGACCCGTGTCCAAACCAGGAACTGTGCATAAGCCAAAAGGGCCGCCCTGCGTTCCGCTGGGAGGGGAGGAACTGATGGCCCAGCTGAAGGCACGGCTGCAGCTTGACGGGGCTGGAGGACAGGCGAGGCCCTGGTCCGCGCAACGCAGAACGTGCTGCGGCCCCAACACGCGAGGGCAGGCGGCTCCGTGGGTCACGGTCACAGGTCACAGGTCAGGCTGGACGCAGCCCGCAGCCCTGGGCCTCCCAGCGGAGGCTCTCTGAGGGGCGCCCGCCCACCCCACGCGCACCTTCCGCGAGCTCCGGCTCCGGCTGCCCGGGCTTCTCCACGGGGACGTCCTCCCTCCTCCAGAAAAAGGCCACCAGTTTGGCCGCGAGGCGCAGCATGGCTCCGCTCTCCCCGCCGAGTTGACTTCGCTGGCCACCTGAGGCACGGCACGCGGCCACCTCCCTCGGCCAATGGGGGCGCCGCCCGCGGAGCTCGGCCAATGGGATTGCTGCGTTTGCAATCGCCTCTCTCTGCTCCTGGCCAATGGGGGCGCCGCGCTTGCGCCTGCGCCTGCGCCTGCGTCTGCGCCTGCGTCTGCGCCTGCGTCGACTCCCCGGCAGCTCCTCGTGCCTGCGACGGTTGGCGGTTGACGTAGGTCAGCATTCTGGAAGACCCTGCGCTCTGCAGTGACGTCATGCCTGAGTAGTGCGTGCAGCAGCCTGAGGCGGGTAGGGGCGGGCCGGTAGGCCTCCCTCG